TTTACTTTGTCTTGACTCGATGTGGCTAAGCTAACTCTACTCATATCCAACGGACCCACACATCTTTAATATTTTTGTTAGCTTACATCTAGGCACAAAACCTCATGGGATTATGCTTGGTGTGCTGTGCAAAGTTCTTTTCGTAAATATATTTTCCCTCTCGTTGTAAGGCCTGTGCCTTGTTACGGGGCTTCTTTATTGACACCGTGTCTGATGCGTGCCGTACATTCTATAATTTGCCCAACATCTGCGCACTTTCAGTGCTCTATCTAGCTTGGGCCTCCACCACATTGGCCTGTGGTTTCCACACCTGGAGCGTAAGGGCGCAAACTCGTCCATAAGTCAAAATATAACTATTTGGATCTTATCCCATCTCTCTTCCACTATGGGCTCCGGACTATCTGCTCCGCTGCTTTACTCAAGGCCACCTCATTCATACGACAGTAGCATCGTACCAATGAGGCTTCTGGCTTTCTGTGCTTTTCAGTCAGTAGGAATTTCAACATCAGCTGATGACTTGCCCGGTGGTTCTTCTACTTTCATTTCGCTTACAGCAGACGCGTATCTTGTTACAACTAGGTACATGATGGAAGGCCTTTATTGATTCCCTATTCTTGTGACCTGTACAGCGTATTGCGATGAGGAGTGTATCCATTTGAGGAAAGTTTCTTCTGTGAGCATACCACAGAAAGAAATCTAGACGCCCAATTGGCAGAGGTCATTATCAGTTCGGTGCACCCTGATATGATATAGGGGGCACAATTGAACTCCTCGATGCTAATATTTGAGTTTACTCTCCTAAGAAGAATTCTCAGAAATGACAAACTCCCTTGGTGGCCATTAGGGATCGAGCCAATATCGACCCTGGGATCGCAAGGGCTCAAGCCCGAAAGTGTCAAGCGTGGAGGTAGTTACTCGAGGCCATCAAAGGTATTTGCTTCACCTTAGGTAAAGGGCCAGAGCTGTCACTACACAGACGGTCTGCCGAAGGGGTTTTGAAATGAGACTGGCACCTGCCAATGCGGAAGGTTAATTGAGCTTCATTGGGGCATTTCTTAAACAATGCCTCAATTCATTTTGTGATTACTTACAATTCAACTCCAATCTGTGGGCAACGATTGGTGTTCTTAAGGACTAACTCCGTTACCCAGTTTTGGTCAGCTCAGACAATCGAGCCTTTTCAGAAGACTTTAAAAAAGCGCATGTCAGAGACAACTTGGTGCCCGGGAGACGAGTGGCTTCAAGTCCCATCTTGTGCATGGATTGATCCAGAATACTACACCGGGAGGTTGAGAACAACTTCAGACGGCTTAGCGCAAGCAAATCAACAGAGATGGACTAAGGAGTGGCTGTTAACTCTGAACGCTGTTTAGTCCCAACAGCTACTCGTAGGATCCCTCGCTGAGACGAGAGTTATTGATGGCACGGCACCCACTTAAGTGGCGAACACGGACGAAGTAAGTTACTTAGAAATTGTCAGGCACGACACCTTTGAGTCCAAAAGACAGAGCCAACTAGCCTCAGAAAGAACTTCAAAAGCGTTAACTTTTTTCTGAGAACTGACATCCAGGAACTCTGCAGTTCTATTGCCCTTTTCAAGGCTCGTGTGCAACTACTTATTTTGAACAAGATGCCACTGGTTTTGAAGTTAGATTGCGTAATATGTGATTTACCATCACACGCAAACGTTTGCCAGACTAAATGTCACACTCGGTATAACTCGCGATAGTGTTGAACGGTAACGGGAGTGTTTCAAGGACAAAAGGTTGTTTCTCCATTCACTGACCACACTAAAGACACCGATAAAGATGTTCAATCAGGGCGGCATAGAGCCAGTATCATACATTAGGCTTGGTTTTATGATTTTCACCCCCCCCACACACACACCCCATTTTGTNNNNGGTTTTTGTGAGTAATTTCCAACTCTCAAACCGAATATCGGGAAATTTCACAACTCGTTCCCGTGCTTAACATAGGATCTTCAGCCCCTGCAGTGTTAGATCCAACCGCCTGTGAATAACAGTGGCAAACGTTTTGCTGAAACCCAAATGAAAAACCTCCACTTGGAGAACTTTATCCATTCTTCTTACGATTTTGTCTAGAAATGTCAGCAGTTTGCCTATGCAGGAGCGTTTCTCAACAAATTCATGCGGAGCTTGGGTCAGGAGCCAATGAATTTTCAGGTGCATACGAATCTAATGTTTACCACTCTCTCTCTCTCTATGCGCTTAAAAAAGACCGAAGTTGAACTTAATAACATTTGGTTGTAGGGTGATGGTGGAGCAGTGGTTTAGTCGTTATCACAGGCATGCTTTGGGCCTTATGTTCCGAGGTTCGAGCCCCGCCACCAAACTTTGGTAGTAGACAGCTTTGCTGTTGTCCGGTCCAATACCATACCTAACCTATCGGGGTCTTATGTGGTTCGCCACTCCAAGTCCCGGGGATTAGGTTACCGGTTTCCCTCACAGAGCACCAGGTATTCATGACTATGAGGTTCGCCTTGCACAAATGTGTAATAAAAATGTTGCAGGCGTTGTGCATGGTGCCTGACTTATGCAAAGCAACCACTGTGACCGCCTTCCATTCGCCTGGAAGTTTACTGATCCTTATGGAATTCTCGTATAATTTGTACAAAACCGGATTGGTCGATACCAATCTTGCCTCCATATTGTCACGTTTTCAGCGAGCTATCAACAACAATACGTGTAGCTTGTTTTTTCCGATTTTCTCTAAAAGCAAATAATAATCCCCTAATTTGTAGTAGAACAAATCACTTCGTAAAAATCCTGGCCCTCGGCTGTCGTCTGGAGTGCTCCCTTTGCAGGCTATGACACCTAGGGTCACCCTTTTCATCACGAACAAAAAGGACACTGGACAGACTCTTGACGATCTGGGAAGTTTTAATAAAGTCACTATTGCTTATTGCAATGAAAAAGCCAAGACCTCAAATACTGAACCTTGTGTTATCCCATTCGTAGTCTGCTTCAACCAATGTCACCCTGTCTAACATTTCCAATGTTTGATAGTTTCCGGTCAAACAGTGTGATATTTACCGAGTACATTACTCAAGCCTAAACGCCAAACCTTCATTGATCTGATTTTGTCTAGACAAGGCCTGGTTTAATCAAAAAGCAGGGATGCTCAGGTACGGTTTTCTTTTACAAACAAACCCATATTTTTTCAAAATTTTTATAATACCTACTTTCATGTGATGAACATTAAACGGAGTAAACCCATAGTCACGAGGACATGCTGCTCCATGAGGGAATGCTGTCTTTGAGTCTGTACGGTTTTTATTAAACATGTGTTGTCAATGCTCAATTCGGCCGACGCTGGATTTCAAAATCTATCTGTAACTGACTCCACTCTACACACAATTTTCATTGTAGCTATCGCTGTTTTACAATACTTTGCTGATTATCTCTTATGGATGAACCGGAAAATGTGGCACTCATGACTTCGCTAATGCCGGACACGGTTGAAGAGAATAACATTCCCGCCGTCGAGCTGGAACTTACTCAAGACGAACCGGAATTAAACTATCGTCCAAAGTTCCCGCTTCCCGATGACATTAACCAATTGTCCCGAGAACAAACTGTTTGCCAGTACTGTGGTGTTAGCTATCTAGTTCTTTCCGAGATCAAACAACTCGAATCACGACTGGAACGACAGTCGGAAGAACTGAGCCACGCATTATCGGAAATGCAAGCGAAAGAAGATGGACTTGCACAAACTGTGCAACAAAACGAGGAATTTCGCCGACAATTGGAGCAATTTCAAACTGGTACAGCTCTGTGAGTGCGATCGCTGAATGAACGAATGAATGCTGTTCGAATTGAAATTTGCAGAGCTAAAACCTTGTTTTCTTCTATAGTTTAATCGTCGTTTTCCTTGTTTAGCGCAACTGAACATGTAAAATTGTTATAGAGCTGGTGAGAGCAAACGCACACAGATATCTATCTATATATATTTCACACTCGTCTGAGGCCAGATTGTGTGCCAAAAAATCATGGTACAATAAATGAAAAACGTTCCATGATTTGCATGTGGGCCGAATACTGTCAGGTTGTCCAGGTCAAGGCAGGTGAATTTTCTTGCCAACCCCACAACCAGAGCCTTCGGTTAGCCAAAGCATGACCTGCAAGACAGCTAGCTGGGCGGTGCCCAGTTCATTGGATTATATAACCTTTGGACGGGGGTAAATGCCCAAGGGGCC